TGCAGTTAGAGTGCAAAGAAGTGTAGACACTGTGGTTAGGTGTTGTCAGGCATGGCTTCGATAAGGCCGTACGCAAAGAGCAAGGGGCACTGGACGCCGCCGTAGAACAACAGACCGTGAAGATCGCCGCCTAAGATTATTGGCCTTAAGGGACCGTTTCTCCACTACCAGGTCCATGGCAAATGAATGGTTTGCATAACACGGAAGACCTATTGGCATGCGAAGTGTTTACCGACGAATGAGAAGTTTTGGCTTGTTTTCATACCGGCCACACTGGGTCCTCCCTTTAACTCGAGAACACCAACGTAATCGCCTTGAGTGGTGCAGACAACGGTCACTCTGGGATCAGGAATGGAACAGTATTGTCTTTAGTGACGAGTCTCGATTTTGTTTAGGCATGCACGATGGTCGTGCCAGGGTTAGAAGGCGACGTGGTGAAAGGAGGAATCCACAGTTTTTTGTTGAAAGACATGTTCATCACGCTGTTGGAGTTATGGATTGGGGTACTATAGCTTATGGTTCCAGGTCACCTTTAAGCATCTCACAAACCGGCGCGAAATATTCGCTTTGGCTGCGAAAATTTCGCGGCGATGAATTCGCGATCAGATTAAAACGCGGCGGTTTACGGGCAGACTCAGACTTGTGCGAAGCGAGTGCGATTGTTCCAGCGTTTTTATCGCGGCGTATTTCAGTTCGCCTTTGACCGCGTTTTTGACGCCGTTCTTCAAAAATTCGCAATGGCAAAAATGGAATTATTGATAGAAATAGTGAAAAAGTATCCTTGTTTGTATGATTTGTCGAACGATGAATACAGGAATGTGAGAAAGAAAGACAAGATTTGGATGTAAATAGGAAAAGAATTAAATACAAATGGTATGTACCTAATATTTTTTATTAACTCGTTAAATAATTTACAGTCTACACAAATGTGAAAACGAACATTCTATATATTGGGCATAGGCATATCAGAATTAAAATAATTTACGAATTTGTCACGAGTAGAAAATGCTAGCCTTGCTGCCCGCCGAGGATCATTTGCTATATCAGTAAAAGCTCCAAGCACGGGTTCTGGGGGATCTAAGAATTGAAAAACACATGCCGTACGTACAATTAGAATAGTAGTATCTACTTTAGTTTCTAATGGCCTGTAAAATATTCGCCATTTTTGAGACAAAATACCAAACGCATTTTCCACGACCCTTCTAGCTCGACAAAGTCTCACATTGTATTTTTCTTTTCTGACGTCTGTTAAAGTCTGCTTATAAGGAAATGGTCTCATAAGGTATGGTTTTAAAGCAAATGCTTCATCACCAATTAAGACGTACGAGCAGATTTCATTTTGCCCAGGGAGAAATCTAGGTGCAGGGACACTCATTAAATTTTGTTCAAATCGTTTTCCCATGTTTGAGGTTTCGAAAATACCCCCATCACTATTTTTTCCGATACCACCAATATCAACACATATAAATTTATAGTCCGGGCCAACAGTGGCCATAAGTACTATTGAATATTTGTGTAAATAGCACCAGTAATTGGAGCAACTGTTGTTAGGTCTCTTGATTGTTACATGTTTACCGTCCACGCTGCCAATGCAATTGGGAAATCCCCATCTATTTTCAAATTCTTCAGCAGATTTTTTCCATATATTCTCTGTTGGTTCTGGTAAATATATATGTTCCATATGTCTGCATATCGCTTCACAGACTTCGGTTACGATTGCACTCACTGTTGTAAAGCCAAGTCGAAAGCTATGCCCAATGGTATAGAAGGTGTCACCAGTGGCAAGGAATCTATAAAGAAAATCGTTTTTAGGTGATGAAGTAAAAAAAAAGGTGGAAGAATATCAGGGACACATTTGCAAAATATATAAAATCTACCAAACCAAAGACCGGTCAAGCCGTGGGCAACATAAAGAAATGGCAGTGGGCTGACTACATGGAATTTTTCCGTCCTTTTTTGGCATTTGCCAAAACGTCGTCTAATGTGAAAGATATTGACGTCATACATTATGAGACTGCCGAATTTAACTCAAATATATATCAGGAAAGGGCTGGAAATGTAGAAACCGAAAATTTGGAAGACCGCGGCCATGGAGAAGATGAAAATGCTGATGTAGGTGCAGAAGATGCACAGAACGCCTCGGCAACACAGACAGCACCACCTTCTTCATTGAACACTACAGCAGTGACTACTCCAGGGCACACCTTTCCGCAGACTGCAACTACACCAAAATATAAGACGAGCAGAAAACGCTATGAACCACCATCTTCGTCTGTACAACAGCTCATTATTTATTTTGAAGGTAAAAAACCTACAAAAGAGAACGAGGCCACTGATTCACTTTTCTTGGCACATGCACAGACTGTAAAAACACTTCCCTTAAAGCGTCAAGCCCGAATAAAACTAAAAATAGCCGAATTAATAGCGCACGAAGAATTTGAACATATTGAAGAAATGTCTTCAGCGCCTACCCAGAATTCTTCAAGTATATATGATAGTAGTATGTCGTCCTTCCCAAGCGGCACTGGGTTTACTCCAATAATATACCCAACAGAGGAGGCAAATTCTGCCTCGAATTATTTAGCAACATTTAATCCTAGTGGCAACATGTAGTCCAATTATTACAATAAAATATTTATTTCACGATCCCTGAAGTTTTCGTATTCGATAAGCCTACTAATTTTAATACATATAATTTTTTTACCTGAGTGTGATAGCAAGTCGTTCTTCTGGCGAAATAGCTTCACGATAATTTGTCAGATTTTCGTATTTCATCTTTCACCAAGTTCAATATTTCATCGAAACACTCTGGAGTCATTCTAAAATATAAGTAAAAGCGCTGTTCATCCAGCCGAAGTTGTGGCATCAAGGTATGGTATTCCCCAAATTTATTTCGTTCCAAGTTCCAAGAAAATATTTGTTTTATGTACTTCGTTAAACTTAATACATACCCACTATCAAATGGCGTTAAATAAACATAACTTACCGTGCATTTTGTTCCTCTTCTAAAGCAAGAAATAGAAGTGCCTCGTCTTCTTCTGATGACGAGCTCATTGCAAAAGGCAAAAATAAAATGTACGCAACCTGTCGAAACCTTCACGTTCGCGGAGCGAATAAGACGCTTTGGTATGAATAAACAGGCGAAACAGATTGCGAATTTCGCTCTGAATTTCGTTGCGAATACTTCGCCGCGATTATTTCGCGCCGGTTTGTGGGATGCTTTAATCTTCATCAGAGGTAACATGAACGCGCGGCGTTATATCCACGAAGTTCTAGAACCCCATCTTTTACCCTATCTTGACACCCTGGCAGATCCAACTTTCCAACAAGATAATGCCCGACCACATGTTGCAAGAGTCACAATAGACTTCTTTCAACATAATGATGTCACATTGTTACCATGGCCACCAAGATCTCCCGACTTATCCCCAATTGAGCACGTGTGGGATATGATGGGTAGGAGATTGCTCAATTTGCAACGTCCTCCTCAGACTCTAGAAGCACTTCGAGAGGGTTGGTGGTTGCCTGGAATGATATACCACAGGAGGACATTGACCACCTGATCAGATGCAGGCCTAGGCGCGTTGGAGAATGCGTAGCACATCAGGGTGCATCCACACATTATTAAAGGTCAAAGGGCTTTAAAGCAGTGCAATCACTTTGAAATTTTTATCATTTACTTATTATGCTTCATTAAGTACTTATACAAAATTTTATTAAAATAAAACCATTTAAACTGGGTGTTCGGATTTATATGTCACTTAGTATAATTATGTGGTATAATTCGTAGTTCAAGTGTATTCTTTGACTTCTAAATTTTCCGACATCACTTTGAAAATCGTTTGTTAGATTACCGCGGATCCATTGTACCTTCCCTAAATTAAATCAAATTGCAAAAATTTTAGAAATATTTAGATCCTGCCTAAAAATTCAATTCAACCTCACCACTTGCTTTTGCAAGGTATGGAAGCTTAAGAGGCTGAACTCCTTCACTATCGCATTCAGTGACTTCATCACTGTTAGTTAATAAGCTTCTAGGATTAAATCACCTCCTCTCTTTTTACTATTGGTATGCTTCAAACAAAATACACATGTTGCATCCTTAGCCACTTTCCAGTCGTTTTTAACACACTTTTTTATGTAACATATAAGCTTGGCCTATATGTATGTAAGGTAAGGTTGCCTATATCGTATCACTCTTTTTTTCTTAAGGACTGTCGGTCCTAGTTGATTTTTTTTATTCAGAACGATGGATTGGACTTTTGAACACCTGAAAGCAATTCTTATAGTTTATTACTTTATTTAACTCTTAATAAACTAGAGTTTTTGTAAGAGATTACAAAAGGTACGATTTAGGCCACGAGTTGCTTAAATCATACTACCGGGTTCCTAAATCGTACCATCAAGCTCTTAGGTTTTAATATTTATTAGGTAGGTAGTACAGGCATTTGTTGGCACATAAACAAAATCAAACTATATATATATATATACAATTACTTGTTAATTGGGAAATTGGAAAAACTTTTAGGCTTAAGTTGACTCTTTTGACGATAAAATCAAGCTTTCGGCATTCTCTATGGAGCCATCATCAGGATTCAGAAAACAAAATTGTGATGCTAGCAAAGAAAACAGGACAGATTTAAAAAGTAAGACAACTTACTCGTCGGTGAGGTTGCAGCCACAAGGTGTTTCAGAAAGAACGTAGAGAAGATCGAACTTGTGATCAGTTTAAAAACAAAAGGACGGGGACATTGGGCTTCTTCTTTCTGAAACACCTTGTGGCTGCAACCTCACCGACGAGTAAGTTGTCTTACTTTTTAAATCTGTCCTGTTTTCTTTGCTAGCATCACAATTTTGTTTTCAGGATCCTGATGATGGCTCCATAGAGAATGCCGAAAGCTTGATTTTATCGTCAAAAGAGTCAACTTAATCCTAAAAGTTTTGCCAATTTCCCAATTAACAATTAATTGTATTTTGTGCCCAACTGGTCGTTGGCTTTGGCAATGACTACTGCTCATATATATATATATATATATATATATAAAATCAGTAGTTTTATTAAGTAATTTAGATAAAAAGAACATTTTAAATTATAAAAATAAGTTTAAAGACAGAAGTCGCACACGTAGTCGTCCTTAAGTCGTGATAAGTCAGTACACATTTCATGTGCCCATGTTTCACATTTGTTGCACTTTATCATAACTTCAACTATAGATTCTTGCCATATTGTGCAAAACCAGTCATCTGCATTAGCCTCGATTATAATTTTATCTTCTCTATTAGAAGGCTTAGCTTTTTTAGTATTTTGTTTTGACTTTTCGGTTTGAAAAATATCTTTTTGGCAGTCTCTTTAGCCTTCTTCATTACACCTTTTCGTACCTTTAAGGCATATTTTTCCTCAAGCTCATTTTTATAAGGGCTTTCTGGCAGTAGTGCCACCTTTTTCTAGCCCTTTCACCCAATTCTTTGACAATTTTTGGTTTTGGTAGTGGACTTATTTTTTCAATTAAAACAGTCTTACTATCTTTATGTGGTCTCATTTTTTCTTCTTGTGTTAGTCTACTTGTTGATGGGACCGGATCTTCCTGGGCAAGATTGGCTTGATTTTCATTTGCCACATCTGTAACTTCGCTAGGAGTATCTTCCTTCTCGGGTCCAACAGTGTCTGGGATCATTAGGTTTTCACTTGCCACAAAATCTGTGTCAGAAACAACATTTCGGTTTACAGGCCACACTCCCGAAGCTCTAAATCCATTTACGGCATTACTTGTCGTTGCAGAAATTGTGTAAGCTTCTGTTAACAAAGCAGCTACTTCAAAGTGTGTTTGTTGCCTTTTGACCAACATTTGTTCGAAGCCAGCTTGCCATGACCTGCATGTAGCTTGACTCCACGGACTCCAAAATCTAGAGGCTGCAACCTATGGGTCGTATGCCCCGGACGTTGCAGTAATATTACGCCATCTTGTCTAGCAACTATTATGGCCTGTAAGTTTCTAGAATGATCATTTTTCATTTTTACTTGGTGTCACAAATTTAATGAAATGTTGTAACCATTTAACAAATAATTCTGCGTTAATGTAACCGCTTTCGCTGGACTGCACAATACTCACAGGAAAGGCTCCATTTATGAGTGCTGCGTGCATACGTTGTCTTTTGAATATGAACATGGGAGGAGCATAGGTGCCTGCGGCATTGCAACAACATACTAACGTTGTATTAATGCCTCGTCCTCCATTGGCAATAAAACCAACTTGATGTTTTTCTTTACGAGCCAAAACTTTTGGTGATTTTTTTTGTACCGTCGAAAAACCTGCTTCGTCGACGTTCTAAATGTGAAAAGCGTCTATTCCACTTTCGTCAACAATCTTTTCCAACACATCGAAAAATTCATATACATTGGTCTTATTGAATCCTTTAGAGCGCGCAATCGAAATGTTGTCTGGTTGACGTAACCTAAGCTCGGGGTGCCTGGACAAAATTATAATACCGTTTCTTACCAGCAATTTTCTTCTTATTATTAAAGGGATTTGGCTGACTTGGACAGGCTGCCATTAAATCATAAGCTAGCTTGCGTACGTCTGTGAGTCCAAAGAGTAATTCTTCGAACTTTAAGATATGAGATACCAACTCTTGTTCTAACTCTTCGGAAAGTGCAGGTATTCTTCCGTCGATTCGCTTTTTGTTCTGTTGTGGATCTTTTTCACCTCTTTTAACTTGTTTTGAAAGATGACTTCTAAATGGTGGTTTAGAAGTTTCGTATTTACGGCACATTAAAGCCAATATTTCCATTTTGATATTATATCATTGCATTTTTCAAGTCGTCCATGGGCCATTTTCCATATTCTCTTTTGGGTATTTTCTGAAACAAACATTTTTTAAATTATTGCTATTTTTTTATAAAACTTGTTTTCTATTTACAAAAAAAATTGTAATAGTAAGCATTGTTTTCTATTTAAAACATATTTCATTAAAATTAAAACAAACTACCTATATTTTTTGAACAACAAACGAATTTTTATTTTTAAGCAAAAATAAGGTAGTTATATTTTTTGCTAACTATCTGTGTACATCAAAAAATTCTATAACAGAAAAATAGGTATTTCTTTTTCTCTGTGTACATAAAAAATTCATAAATGATTTTTTTTGTTAGTAAAAAAATATAGGTTAGATATTGAAACAACTTATAAAAAGAAAATTTTGACAACAATAAGGATTCTATTAATAGGCTTGTTAATTCTTTTTTCTCCGTGTACAAAATCAATACATACGACGGATGTCTTTTAAGTTTTGCATATGGAAATAAAACAACACGGTGGGTAGTTTTAAATGACTTTACTGTTTTTCGAAGTATTCTCTACGAAGATTAATACACATCTGCATGCGCTCGAGCCAATTTTCGAAGCACTTATTCCACTCGTTTGCTGGCAGATCCAAAACGGCGTTTTTGAAAGCGTCAACTGCTTCTTCTGGTGACTGGAACCTTTGATCACGCAGTCTGTTTTTAGTTTTCGAGAAAGTAAAGAAATCTTTAGTAGTTAGATCGGGACTATATGGAGGATGGTCCAATAGTTCCACGTTTTCTTCCGTTAAATACTGCCTTGTTTTTTGGGCTGTGTGCGAGCTTGCATGTGGAGAATGATTCTTCTTCCGGGGTTGATTTTTCGAAGTTCGGTGATGACTTTCGGCAAACAAATGGTGAGATACCAATCCGCAGTAACAGTTCTTAGCTCATTAAGAGGAGTTGTTGCAATATGACCCGCTTTTGACACAAATGTCGCGACCATCTTTTTCGAAACACTTCGAGAACGGATGACCTTTGTTGGCTTTTCCTCACCTTGGAACACCCAAACAGCCGACTGTCGTTTATTTTCTGGTTCGTGGTAGGATCTGGGAAACTTTCAATAAAGATAAATAAACGAGATTCTATCCTTACTTTCCACATCTAATTTAAAATTTAAATTTTGTAAATGAAAGAAAACTTCCTAAGTTATAGAACTAGAGAAAATATTCTGTATTAACAGTACTTACCGACAAGCTACAACCTCACGTAATCTCAACAAAATTAACATCAAAATGCCCGTAAAACTTTCACTTAACTTATTCTGAATTGAATTATCCTGTTGATAACTCAAATTTTATTATAATTTTATTTTAAAGTCATTAATTATGATTGATTGTTCGACCATCGACTACTGTAATATAAATACTTTGTACCTAAAAATCATTTTCTGCTTTCTAGTTCGGTTAGCTATAAAAGCGTGTTTTTTTTAGTTTCTTTTAAACTATTATATATTTAGTTTAAGGGTGATACCTGCATTCTCCCGAAGTGCTCTAGAAATAGCACATGGAAAGACAATGTGCAGTGGAAAGGTATTGGTGCTGAGCGCTGCTGGGTTACTAGATAGTAACCACATTGTCACTGCGCTCAGAAGGAGGTTATACGTAGCCAGTAAGTTGAAACAACAATTTATAGTAGGTTTATTCAGTAAGACATTGAACCAAAAAATAATCACCGCGTGTTCAGTGCGTGATCGGTACGTTGGGTTGATATATTTCAAGAAACTGGAAACACAGCTGTTGGGGAGAATCGGTTGAGTCCATATACAAGATCAATACCAAACCGGGAAGGTGGAGTGGGAGACGACACAGCGGTGCATGCAGCATTGCAGGTCGTTGTAACGTGCTCGGCGTTCTGGATACCGATCGCGTGAAGTATGCGTGAATATGTTTCGGATTAGTTTTTCTTTTAGATACATGGGTTATAGTGTTTCATGATGATCCGACAATCTGTTATATAGCCTGCCGTAATGCGGTCTGCGTATCAAACGAAACATCCAATTATCATGGAGCCATGTTTGCATAACCGGCGACGCTTTGGATGGATTAATTACCAGCACGTACGCGAAGTGTCGCTGGTTTGCTGACCGTGATGTATATTTCCTTGTATAAAATCACGGTGAACGTTTGTCTAGGCATAATAAATAGAGGTGCAATTTATATTGGCTTGGTGTGAAGGATGCCACATGTTTGACTTACCTTGTGAGCAGAGCTTTCTATAGGTATATTGAAACTCGTGTTTTCGTTTTAAGCTAAAGTAGAGCTAGAAATACCACATGGTTACACCAACAATAAATGCCTAGATTCTTCATTATCATCAACTTCAAAAAGCAGTAGGTAATTTCGGTAGAGATCGACCACCGGGAGAGACCGACCACTGCCGGTAACTTAACCACAAAGTAATAGATGAATCCGTGACTCACATGTATGATGCGATTAGTTGACCTTGTTACATGGAACACGTAAACACGCCCGTAACAGTAGTATAAATGTACAAATTAAATTTAGAAATTTGTGCAAACTTGACAATTTTTTGACTGATTTACTGTGTTCGTGATATTTTAAAGACTGGTAAGTTTAATTGAACTGTTTCAATACTGGATGATAAAATATGCATCAAACTATAACATAACCCCAAAATGTAGGCATTTATCATTTTTCCTTCGGTTAACAAGGTGGTCGATCTCTCCCTTAACTTTGGTAGAGTACGGCCACATCAATGCGGGAGAGACCGACCATGGAAATAATAACAGTATTAATGAAATATTCGGCGGTCTGAAGGAAATTAGTGATACAATAAAGCTCAATTTGAAAAAATAAATTTATTGTAAAATAATATTGTTACGGATTAACAAAAATGCTGACGACTTACAAAAGGAAAAATGAAGAGACAGCTAAATGGAGTGCCGGTTCTTTAAGAAACGCAATAGAATGTGTACAAAATCGTACAATGGGTGTAAATGAAGCCGCCAGAACAATTTGGAATACCTAAAACAAACGCTAAAAGATAGGATTAAGAGGGGGACGCAACAAAACAACACAGATTAGGTCTGTCATCAGCGTTGCGAGAAGATGCAGAACTAAAATTGGTGCGACACATAAAAAATTGCAAACATTTGGATTTGCACCAGATCGGGAGTCCGTCAGAATATGGGCTTTTTCAACTTGTAGAAAAATTAAAAACTGAAGCACTCATTTAATAAAGAAAGAGGCAAGGCCGGTTATGATTGGCTTAACTCGTTTTTACGTCGACATCCTGATATATCGATTAGAAAAGCCGAAGGAATTTCTATTAACAGAGCGACTGGAATGAACCGTCTGTTTGTGAAACACTATTTTACCCTTTTAGAAAATGTTCTCACTGTTCCCACTTGTTCCCAAAACTAACGCAAAAGCAGTGGTCAAAACACGAGGTAGGCAGCTTACAACTATTTTAAACAGTTCACAACGAATTGAGATTCAGAAGGATAAAAAGAAAACAAAGAAAAAACAAATGTCCAATTCAGAAAAAAACTGTGGTTAAACAGAAAAAAACGATTCAGATTCGGAGAGCGAAAGTCCAGTATTGCAGGAAAGTGATACATCAGCAGATGAATGGGACGAAAACGAATGCGTAGGATGTGGGGAAAATTATTTTAAACCACTAAGAATGACGAATGGCTCAAATGTGTGAACTGTAGTCCGTTGGTTTCATAATGGACGCTCAAAATTCGAGAATATTTGCGATATATGCGGAAAATTTAACAAGAGAAGTCGAAAAAATTAAATGTATTTATACGATTTAATTCTACCCTTATTATCATACTGTTCAAACATGTTTTCTTATTCTATGTTTTCTTATTTTTCGAAGTCGATCTCACCCGTAGTTGGTGGTCGGTCTAACCCGGACATCCGGTGAGATCGACCAGTTACAATGTTTAAACTTTTAGTTCGAAATAAACATTTATGTTTGTATTATATCTTAAATTGTGATTTATTTACTATCCTAACCCTTTAGGTAATGCTTCAACAGTTAAAAAAAACGTGTACCTCAGAAACCAAATATTTACAATATTTTTTCCAAAATGTGGTCGATCTCTCCCGGACTTACCCTAAATTAGAGCCCAGGATTTGATTAGTGCTGGGGATACAATCTGTCAGGCTCAATGTGTCCTACCATCTCCTTACCAGGTATTCCAGAATTGCTGCTGTATGACGAAGACTATTTTTTATATTGGACTGGAATTGTTAATTACGTTGTAACGTTTGTAAATATTTACTTTACCTATTCGCCGTATTGATTGCCCTTGACTCAACAAAACTGAATTGAACGAACAATTGTACCACCCAGCACAATTGGCTACTTGGATATCGTTTCCAATGAAAGGCATGTACGTCAATCTATTGGTTTGTAAGTTTGCTAGGAGTTGGTGGGCATATGTAGCACTAATTCTATGTTATATTGGCAACATAAACTGGCCTGAAGCAGCTCATCTCTCCGTTCATCTCTTCGGCGTGCCTATCGTCATTGTTACTAAGATTCCCACTCGACTGAATCCTCACTAAAACCTCTCCAAAATTTCGTCATGGTGGGTAACGTCTTGTACTAAGTTTTAATTCCAGAGGTATGTAGGTATGTATCCAACGCAGAGGCTTGCGGCAAAAAAGTTCTTACTAAGACGGCAAGAGAAGAATCTGGAAAAATATTTTCAAGTTTCTG